TCAAGCAGTGCGCAAAAAGGTGGTCAAAGCGATGGACCGTTTGTGTATAAAGGAAAAGGCTCTACGAAGTTCAAGCCGAAGAAACTGATTGTCTCCAAATCGTCGTCGAAAGGAGACCAGGTTTGTGTGCTTCATTCTTGGTTAAAAGTTTCAGACCTGTTTCATCTGCTTGGTTCACGAAACCGTTTCGTATGAAGTCGTCTTCGCTTGTGTTACTGCCGTCCCCCCCAAATGGGTACCGTTTACAGGAAAGGTCCAGAAATTAAAAATATCTGTGCCTTTCTAGGAATTTGTTGGTCTCTTGAAATTTGTGGTGATGCTGAATGAATGCGAGGAGTTTTAGAAAGTCCTGAAAGTCACCGAAAAATGTTCCTTATAAAAGGGAGTTAAAAGCTGGTGGTAAGATTTCCAGAATTTTTAATCGATTTCTGTAAAAAATTACTGAATGTTCAAGTTTTCTTTCATTTTTACGTTGCCTTGAATTTTTAAAACGTTTACCACGAATTCTGAAAGGTTCGAATTTGTTGGCTTTTTCTCTTCTAAGGATGCATTACAAGTCACGATAAATTTCAATTTTTTTTCAATGCCATGTCTGACCACACTGGCCCGGAAACCAACTGTGGGGTTTAATTTTGAATGAATTTTGATTCTTCCGTTTTCCAGTCTTCGGAGTATTTTTCAATCTCGTGTATGTAAGTTGTTGCTCCAGACTGCCATTCATTTGAAAACATTAATTTTTTTAATGAATCTGGTTCAAAATATTGTCGAGAGCAGATTTACGAGCGTCGGTTTTTTTTCTTTTTAAATCTGCCGACAGTTTTTTACGGCCATAGAAAATCAACTGTCAGAGAATCACAGTGAAATGATTCATATTTCGGATAATCATCCCATTTCAACGTTGGCGGGCTGCCAAAAAAAAAGTCATTCAAATCCATCTGGGAGTCGTGTAATTAACCTACCTTTTAGAAACCATTATTTTTCCTTTTTTTTTATCGCGTGATGAGTAGCCCAGACCTGGTGCGAATCGCGGCGGCGAAGAAGGCAGCAGCACTATCGGCGGAGCGTCGCCGGTGTCGCGCAGCATTCGAAGACTGTCTCGGTTGTCGGTCGCCGGATCGGCGCCGGTGTTGGCGGAGTTTGAGCGGCGGCTTTCGGGTCGTACTCTGGGACGGAAACATAGCTCCCCGTTCGAGTTGTTTTGTCGTGAATCTTGGGCGCGACTGCGCGCGAAGGACGTGTTGGACTGGGAGAGCGATCGCGTCGCGAGCTTGGTGCTGGATCGTTGGCGAGATGATGCGAATAACGAGGAACACTCGGGTGTTGTTCATTCGCGCTTGAAGGTTTTTTTTTCATTCTAGAAAAGAAATTCTACAGTACGGTTGAACCTCGATAACTAGAACCCTTTTCAAGCGAATTATTTTTCAAGTCCCCGGCTGAATTTTCTTGGTAATTTCATTCGCGCTTGAAGGTTTTTTTTTCATTCTAGAAAAGAAATTCTACAGTACGGTTGAACCTCGATAACTAGAACCCTTTTCAAGCGAATTATTTTTCAAGTCCCCGGCTGAATTTTCTTGGTAATAGTGTATTGTAAACCTCTCTTAACTCGAAGGCTGCAACTCTTCGAACCTCTGCACCTCGAATTTTTTCGAAGGCCTTTTGGCTATTATTTGATATTTTAATTGATGCAGAAAAGAGGAAAGCAATAAAATGTGATTTGATTTATTTTGAAAGGAAGTGAAAGACTAATTGGGCGAACGAACCCTTGCTTCCAGGTTCAGCATTGTTGAGTAATTTAAAGCCAAGAATATCACCAATTACAGTTTCCTTGAAATTTTTGAACAAGAAATCTCCAAAACTGGAATTTTTTTACTCGCTCCACTTGAAGAGGTTCATAATTTTGATGACTCCAGCTTGACATTTCAGGAAGTAGGATTAGATGTTGGAGTGAAAATATTCACGAATCCCTTTCATAGATCATCATCTTCTTCGTAAGATTTTTTTAAGGTGATCATAATTGATATTTGATTCGAGCTTGTTATTATTTCGACTTCAGCGTTTTGTTGAAATTAAATTGATGTGTTTTTTCCTTAGGGAGAATATGAAAAGGCCATGAAGGAATACAAACGGGAACTGCAGCAGAAGGGTTCATCATCGTCAAAGCACCGGGGCTGTAAGTGTGAAATGTCTTTGTTCGTTTTACCTCTCGAATGTCTTTTATACTTGTATTTCGTACACTGTATGAGTAAAACACGCTGACGTATAACTGAGATGAATCATACAATGAAGGAACTGACCTAGTGCGCGGTTGCGGTTTTTCTTGCGATAGGAATGTCGCCAAAGTTGTCGTATGAACGCGAATAATTGTTTCATTCATTGTCCAGAAGAGTCTGTGTGTGTGTGTGTTTGTGTGAAAGGAAGTAAGTACTGGGCTGGTCCTGAAGAAAAACAATGTTTTTCGATCAGAGTTATAAACTTTGAGAAGTACACATTTGAGGCACTTCGTCAAGTACTGTACAGTGTACTTGACCGACCGAAAACTTGCATAACCCTATGTACAGGGGATTAAGCAAATGTTCGCGGTCGTTTCGTAAATACTGTACTTGATGGATGCAGCATTTTTCGTAAGCGTTGAGTCTTTACGGACAAACATATGCATCACCTCGAAATAAAAAATAAAATTGACCACTTCGTGGGCTATAATTTTTTTATCCCATAATCTTGAATATTCAACCAGTTAATAAAATTAAGAACGTGGACTTCACGGTCATACCGGTGGAAGGTGAAAAGCGAACGCAACCATTTTTATAATTCCTCGTATTGACTGTAATTGCTTGAGCGAATTTTTTCCATTTCTTAGAAATTTGCGTTGATGATGACGTTCTCCGTTATCTTCTTCGATTTTAGAGCTTCACTTTCGAGAGGGCTTTGTTAAAATTGTCGATTTTTTAGGTGATATCCTAATTTTGGTCTTTCAGTGGACGACAAGCAGGGTTCCGGGAAAACTGAAATCGTCGAGAGGAAAATTGAGATCGACAAAGCGGAAGACGACGAAGAAGGTAATATTCTTCACTTAATTGGGATACTCCCCTGGGTGTTGAGATGTTTTTGTAAATCACAGGAGAGAATGCGATCCGCAGCGTCAGGGAATTGGCTCATGCGAGATATCAACGCAATCATCGCCTCATCAATGAAATCTTCTCTCCTGACGTTGTTTTCCCAACGAGGCCTGTTACGTCACAGTCTCACGTGGACAATCTGAAAGCCACAGTGAAAAGGTTGACTGCTCACAAGGTTAGTTCCGAGACCTTGGGATGAGTTGGAAGTTGAATGCAAGGATAAAAGTGATATATTATGCGGAGATTTCCTTTTGAAGCTAAAAATTGCGCTTTACTGGACTATGTTTAATAATGTAAGAAGGTTAACTGCTAAGAATCGTGAGATTTTTCTGATTCAGCATGTAATTTTCGAATTGAATTTCTCGGTTTTGTCGGGTACTTTTTTTTTTCAACAAATTCAAATTTTAGATTTGTTTCGGCTTGCGTGATTCCAATCTGAACAGTTGTGCTCACTTCACCTGCTTGACGACTTCTTCTTCGGATTTCGAACTGGTGTCCCCTGAATCTTTAGCCAAGCTTGATTTAACTCAATCCAACTGAATTCAGATGTGAAGGAACTTTCAAAACTAGAAAGAAAAATTTTTTGAAAAAGAAATGTGAAGAAGTTGGTAATTCAAGGACAAAAAAGTAAATGCTTCGTAATCTACCTCGAACGTATCTTGATTTGGTTCACAAAATGGCTTCATATTTTCACCCTTTCGGAATTCGTTGTAGTTGACATTATAAATTCAAATTGGGTTCTGTATCTTGAGATACAGCAATTTTATTTTTGAACTTCTTTGCCCAGCTGCGGAATATAACGCGGAAAATTAGCCCGGGAATTTTGAATGCATAATTTAACAAATATATACTGTATATATTTTTTAGTCATAACTTGTGCATACAATGTGTGCATAGAAAAACTTCCAGAATTGTTTCCCTCTTTTGATGAGTTATTGAAAGCAATCTACTCGTTGATTTACCTTTTTATGCTACGTTATCCACAAAACTGATTAATTTTCGGGTACCATTTTTCATCGTTATCCTGCGGGAATTGAGATTGAAAAATATTTCAACTTGAAATTCATTTTTATTGGGAGGAATTATGACGACGTGGGAACGAAAACGATCCACTCGCTCAATCATGCTTTTCTTACTCTACTAGAGACAGGCAGGTTTTTTCATGCGCGGCCGTTTAATTTTCTTCGCGTACAATTTCCCGTTGAGTTATTGAACAGCATACAAATTTGGATTTTTATTCCGGTTTTAATCAGGATAAGCTGTTGGGAGAAATTGAGCGCATGGAAGAGAGTTACATATCGAAACGCCAAGCCGTGCTTTCCGCCATCGATCTCATCATGAACATGAACAAAGTGGAAGAAACCGCGCAGGGCGAACAAGTGGTTCCTCAAACCACCCAAGCCTCTCCGTCTCCCACGCCCGCATCCCCGGCGTCGCCGATGAGCCACGCTCCGATCGCCGCCGGCATGGCCGCCACGGCGTCTCCCGCCGCTGCAACCCCGTCCGACTCTGCAGTTCCTTCCCCGAGTTCCGCTCCTAGCGCCGACCCGGAAGTGGATTCCGTGATGGACGTTGTCACGAACACGGAAGAACAGCAGCACGCGGGATTCGACTCTTCGACAGCGGCGACTGCAGAACAAGTACCTATAACTTCTGAGGTTACACCGAGTTACACCGAGCCTGGTACTTTTGCGGAAGACGCGTCGCGGGCTTCGTTAGATCAGATTGTACCGCAGGCGGAAGAACAGCCGATGGAGGTCGATGCTCCTGTGGCTGGTGACGAAACTGCGTCTGAAATCCCGCATGAAGTAGTTGGTAACGCTGTAGATGAATCTCAGCTTGTCGTTCAGCAACAACTGCCTGAAACTGTGGTTGAAACCTCAGCTAACGACTCTAAATCTGAGCAGGCGTCTGCCTAATTGCATGTGCTATTGTTGTACTCGAACTTACCTCGCTTGTTACTGCATGATTGATTTGCGATCGGTTACTTTATAAAATTAAATGGAAGCCCGTCAATTATTCATTCGATTTGAACGATTATATCTGTGTATGTTAAAGGATTTCAAGGCGTGCGTATCGTACTTCTAAGTATAAATTCAAACGAAAAAACATTTTTTGTGCCAAAAATTACAGCATTTCCTCAAAGAAACAGATTACATTACTTCCACGCAGTTTTACCCTCGTTTTACAGACTCTCAGTAGAATTTTTAATATGTGCTGATCAAATTCGAGAGACATTTAGGTCCAATTTTGTTGGAAGAATTCGGAGTTTCGTCCTTCGCTTGTATGGCGAAATGATGATCTTGGATAAGATCATCAGTTGTGAAGTAATTTTCACGGTGTATGTAGAAAAACATTTTTACATCGAGATTAAAATTGGCCACGACCTGCTTTAAAAATATTGGATTTCTCTTCCACTCTGAAGTGAAAAATCACGACGAAAGTTGAATTTTTCGTAAGTAGGATTTCATATCTGGAAAAGCAATGCTTTATTCTTTCGAATAAAAAGACGTTCTTGCAATGATCTCAAAAGTATTTAGATGAAGTTTCAGCGAAATCTGAATAATTTTTCAGAAAGATTATGTTTGGTTTCTGTTTGGCCTAGATTCAACTACAGTATTTTTATTTTTTGACGTAAGTTGTCGTTTTGTTGCCCGATATATTTTACACCAACACTTCCTCCCTCGGATTCTGACATTTCTCATGTGTGTAACCAACGGCACCGAACCTTTCTTTTGCATAATGAAAATTTCACTCACTTCTGGGTCATATTTTCATTATATTTTTGCTGGTTATGTGCTGTAAAATTTGCCTTCTGTTGTCGTATTTAGATTCTTTTTCTTTGAGTTTTCTATTAGATTTTGATCAATGTTGCAGTTTTTTACTCACACGTTGTGTCTTCGTCTTGTGTCTTTTGCTCTGACTGTCCCTTCGACTTTGTCGTCTTCGTTGCCGTGTGAAGCGCCTGGGGCAGCGCGGTGAGAGCTGCAGTGGCCACAACTAACTTTTCTCCAATCGTCGCTGAGATTTCAACTGGGAGAAACGAGATCCAGGTGTGAAGTGTGCATGGAATCCTCCTACTTGTGACTTGAGTTGTTTTGAGCTGTAACTGGTCGCGAAAAGATGCTGAAAATTCGATTTTTTTTTTTTTAGCATCATGGGTAGGAAAAATTTTGTTTCATCTTTTATCTACGAAATGTTTGCTGTTCCAGACGTAGTTCACCGCAAAAGTACAGAAGATGACAGTGAAGTGAAAGACGTTCATAGATGATGATATTGTAATGTACTTTTCGCGAATGGTGTTGATCTGAAGTTGATGCCTATTAAAATTTCCCGCACTCCTTCTTTCCATCAACAAAAATGCGTGTTTCTCTGAATCGAATTTTGTTGTTGGTCCCTTGAAGTTCGACTAAAAGAGATTCTACTGTAGTCAACTTGAAAATCTTTCACTTTCTCCGTAATAGTTTCATTATATGTAGAAGGAAGACGAGAAAACTCCCGATTTTCTAGTGAAAGATGTTCTGAGATGATAATACTGTGCAGTACTTTTTGCAATTGGTGTTAATCACCACTTCGAATTTTCAAGCATGTCATTTCGCGAACTGTTCCAGTATTTGTACTTGTATTTGTGTGCGTGGTTTTTTNCTTTTTCGAGTTTACTTCGGATCAACGTGATCTGTGCGTTTGTTACGGGGAGTTGTAAAAAAGAAAAATAAATTCGAAAATGAAGCTTGTTCATCGAAGCAACAGGGTTTTTCATTCTGTTCCATCATTTCCTGTGGCGGAATACTTGTTTTGACTGAGTGCAAACCTTCTGATCCGCGTTGTCATCCGCTTATTATTTTGCATGTCTCGTGATGGGAAGCGCGGTCGGTGTCGTAAGACCCGCGTGCAATGACTTCTTCAAATAACGAAGCGCGTGTGTCGTGAAAACGGTGTCGGGTGTCGAGCATGAAGCCGGAGTCGGTTGCATTAGAATCCGAGTAAGGGGGCTTCGACAGAGACCACGAATCAGTGTGTGTGAGTGAGTGAGAGATGCCGAGTGACGAGCTGAAGGTGTTTTCCGGACTCGTGGCGACCCCACGAGTCGACCGGAGTTTGGACTTGGGCAAGAAAGTCTTTGGGGTAGATGCAACGGGAAAGGTTAGTGTTGTAAATCCGCGAACTCGGGTGGTGGTGGTGGGAAGACAGGGTCGATTTTTATTTATTATTCAATATAGAACGCTTTTGAGCCCAAGATATTACCCCTACAATGAACGCGCAGTGTCTCGAATTTGAAAAAATAATAATGAGTGCAGTTGACCCTCGATGACTCGAACCTCCCCATGTCGAATTTTTTGAGGAGTCCGTGTTTGAAAAAAAGAATGCATTGAACACCTCCTTAACTCGAAGGATTTCCTTCTCGAACCTCTGTAACTCGGATATCCTGGTGGCCTTCTGGCATTTTTTTTTTATTGACACAGGAAAGAGAGAAGCAATGAATACTGTACGTAATTTCATGTGCTTTGAAAGTAAGCGAAAGACCAATCAGGCAGACGAACCCTTGCCTCAAAGTTCAGCATCCTATCAACTTATTCAAGGAGCAATTATTTAAGACCTAGAAGATCATCTATTAAAATTGCCGGTAATTCTTCCTTCTTTCCCGCAACAAAGATGCTCCTTTCCCTGCCTCGAACATTTTTGCTGGTCCCGTGGGAGTTCGACTAAAAGAAGCGAGTTTTTTTTATGATCGGAGCTCGACAAGACGCATAAATTATGTTCAACTGTTGATGTCAAGTGATGACACGCGGTATTTGCCCCTGCTTCTTAGATCGTATTCTTTGAGGATGTGTCGTTCCTGTCGGAGCTTCGAGCCCTCGAGACTCCCTACGAATACGAGCCTGCGTGTCATTCCAAAGCGGAACGAAAGTAAGTTGAAGTTGTTGCGTATCGCATCATTTATTGTTTCCATGTGTTGACAGATTTTGTTTTAAATAATCTATGCTCGGGATGTGTTTTACAGCGAGCTCTGGATTCCCGGACTGATTGACACGCATACCCACGCTCCTCAGTATCCGAACTTGGGCCTGGGGCTCGACCTTCCCTTGCTTCCCTGGTTGGAGAAGTATACATTTCCGCTGGAAGCTAAATTTGCTGACTCTGCCTTTGCTGCAGAAGTTTATCCTGTTGTTGTGGTGAGACCATGCTTGTTTGCGTCTAGGAGTTGATTACGATGGGGGTGATTGGGGTTACAGTGAGTCTTTGCGTAACCAAAGACTTGCGTGACATCATTTTGAAGGGGGAAAGCAACCCAAATTCAATCCAGAAATGGTCAAATTTGGACAAATTTTAAAATAAAACTTGGAAATATTTTTTTTTTAATTAGGGAAATAAGGTGTCATCATATACTGTAATTGATTGAGTCCTCAAGCAGGTTGAGAATACAGTGGTACCTTGCATAACAAACCCCTGTTGTACAAACGTTCTGCTGAACAAACATTTTTTGGGGGGAAAAGCACCCTTGCAGTACATGTCGTGGGTCAACTAGATGTCGCCCAAAGCAAACGAAATCGCACCATAAAGACACTAGATGTCGCTCATGGTCGCGCCACGTTGCTTAGAAGCAACTGGAGTTCTCTAGAACTCACAAGAAGAAAAGTTACATAATATTCCCAAATTCAATCCAGAAATGGTCAAATTTGGACAAATTTTAAAATAAAACTTGGAAATATTTTTTTTTTAATTAGGGAAATAAGGTGTCATCATATACTGTAATTGATTGAGTCCTCAAGCAGGTTAAGAATACAGTGGTACCTTGCATAACAAACCCCTGTGGTGCAAATGTTCTGCTGAACAAACATTTGGGGGGGGGGGAAAGCACCCTTGCAGTACAAACAAATTTCATACTACCAGCTCTTTTGTAGGAAAATTTTTTTACTACAAACCAGTTTTTTTTTTTTTTATAAAAAAATTTCTGTGCTCCAAGATGATTGTCTCAGAAGTTCAGAACACAGAAATTTTCCTGACAAATTTTCCTCACTGTTGTCAAATGCAACAACAGTAAAATAACCGTCATTGCATGTGACAAGTCACACAAAAACAGTACAGAAGTGTTATTTTCCTTTTAAAAAATGGGGGTTTTTTTTTGGAAAAAATTAAACAATTTCCCATACAAGTCTATGGGAAATAGTGACTTGCATTACAAATGTATTGCACTATGAACCTAGCTCTGGAGCAAATTATGTTCATTGCGCAAGGTGCCACTGTACCCTGTTCTTGGTTTGGCTTTCATGTTCCTAGATTCTGCTTGGTAACATCCAGAAGAACCAGACCATTGTCTTGTCACTGGTCATTCAATTGTGCCTGTCCAGGTTTACTTTCCAATGCATTCTATGCATGGTCATGTACCTGTCCAGTGCATCCAATGAATCTGTAAATTAGTGTCCAAACACTCATTCTGCACTCATTGCTGGGTTGGTCTGCATTGTTGTTGGTTTGACTTGGGATTGTATTTTAAAACACACCTTTACATTCTTGTATTGAGAAGTAGATTCATTTTGCAAAACCCCAGCAATAAGACTAATACTTCTTGACTCAGTTTATCCTGAAAAGTAAACAGTGAATTGATTTGAAAGATTAAAGGTGAAGAAGAAATTCAATCCATTAGTCATTTAATTCAGTCCATCTTTGGCAGTTTAATATAGCAAAGGAAAGACTGGTTTGCTATTTGCTCTTGTTCTCTTCAAGATTTGTGGGAGAAAAATATCAGAGCACAAGCTCATCAGAATTACGGTACTGTATTTAAAGTTCATACTACAGTACAGTATTACATTTCAATTTCTCGATTTATTGCTGAAAGCTAGGAAAAATACACATATATAGTACTCTATAATGGTTTGTGATTGTGCTTTGGTGACTTTCTGGAGAAAAAATAAAATAATTTGCATGTTTTGAGTCTATCCTTGCACAACGAAAATTTCGAAGTACTGTATGAAATTTACTAGGGGGAAAAGCGACCCATATTTCGAAATTTGTCAACCCAAAATGGTCGAATTTTGACAAGCTTTGACCTAAAACTTGGAATTTTTCCCAATAATTGATGGAAATAAGAAGAAGAGGTGTTTCCTTTTATTTGTTGTCTAACCTTTGTGAAATCAAGAATGGTCAGAGCACAATCTCATCAGCGATTGCTTCAATATAATACTGTACTGATGAATTTTGATTTCACCATTTAATGCTGGAAAGTGGAGAAAATACGCAGATTAAGTGTTTTATACTTGTGTTTCGGTGACTGGAACAAATCGAATGATTTACAATGTAACCTCGTGGAAAATCGCCAATAGGAGCAGATTAATGTCCTTATGCGGGGACTCGATCTATTTAAGATTCATGACTTTTCATGCATGTCAAGTTTTAGTCCTAACTAAAAATTCGCTTCGGTGTCGTGTTTTATATCCAGGGTGAAATGCATGCAGGTGTAATTCAAGAAATATCCTTGAGTACTGTGCAAAAACTTCGTCAACACTCTTTGTATGAGATCAGTGTTTAATCCATGGGTTTTTGGTAGAAAAATTAAGATGCGTTTTTTTTTCTTTAGTAAAGCCGCCGCAATCAGCAGTATTTTAAAAAAATATATAGATAATTATTTTCTCTTGGGTATAAGAACGTCTTCATTTTATGCATATTTTTCAACAGGGTCAGTTGCTTCGAAGTGGAACCACGACAGCGGCGTATCATGCGACTATCCATCAGGAAGCGACTCGAACATTATTTTCCACGTGTCAGCGAATGGGTCAACGAGCCGTTGTCGGCAAGGTCAGCATGACCCGAAACGGAGCCCTGGGCTATCAAGAAACCCCGGAGGAAAGTTTCCGTTGTGCCGAAGAATTTGTCAATTGGGCCATGGATCAAGCTGTGAGTCATTGCGTGAAAACGAGGTCAACTATCTTTTTGAGCTGTTTTTTTTGTCCGATTTTATGAGAAAGTACAGTGAGACCCCCACATGTGGACACCTCGACATGCAGACAATTCGTCATATGTACATTTTATTCCAATAAAAAAGGTCCCACGTATGGATGGACACTGAATCAACATGAGGACATTGCATGATAAAATGGCCAATAAATTTCAGGAAAATTGACTTTCATTAGGCTTAATTGCAAGAAACAGATATTTCCAACCCTAAGATCTATGCAAGAAAATTTTTCTTGTATTTCTCCCATCATTTTCCCATGCATTCAGCTAATGAAAAAAAAAGTACCTATGGCATAGAGGGACTATCTTCAATCTTTGTGTATTGAGTGTTACTTTTACAGATGCCAAAATTGCTATGTACTGTGCAGTGGTACACTATTCAATTCTCCAAATGTTCTTATCGAGTTGAAAATGTATTCACTAATTCAAATTCAAGTGGCAAAAAAATTTTATTTATGGAATTCTGAAGAATATTTTTTCCATAAAACACCAATTAAAAATTATGTAATGTGAGTCTATTGGAAAACAAGACTTGACTTAGGGACAATTCAACTTATGGACACTCTTGATGCACCAATCATGTCCGCATCTGGGGGTATCACTGTAATTGTGAGATTTTTTCCGAAAGATTAATTTTGGTCTAGTTTGACGTCCGAAATGGTATCTGCTGACCCAATGTTAATAAACTGAAGTTTCTCGGTGCATCTGTGTTTATTGGACCAGTCATATTCAAATTATGAAAGAGCTGCATGAATTTTCTTCCATTGTTGGAAAGTGAGAAGAACTGTCGGGATGGGATATCGTTGCTCTGATTTGTATAAAAAAATACCAAGGAACTGTTGGACGTGTAATAATTTTATAAATTTAGAAATCAAACGATTTGGTGCTACCATCGGTGACTCCGAGGTTTGCCGTCACCTCGTATGCCGACTGTCTATTGAAACTCGGTGAAATTGCGAACCGCTACAAATGCCACGTGCAGGTAATTTCCTTTTCGAATCATTTTGAAATTTCTGACTGCGTTTCTCGTGCTAATTTTTTTCTTCTTCCAGACTCACATCAGCGAGAACAAGAAAGAAGTGGAAGTCGTGAAGGAAGCGTTCAAGTCCAAGAACTACACGGAAGTGTACGAAACTGCCGGGCTGCTGAGTTCGAAGGTTGATTGAAGTTACGTCTCATTGCACTAGAGAATGACTTTTACATTTTTTTTTTTTTTTTGTGGACTGATGGAATTTAGACTGTGCTGGCCCATGGGGTTCACCTTGAATCCTGTGAACTCGAGGTTATAAGAAGCGCCGGAAGTGGGATCTCACACTGTCCGAGATCGAATGCTATGCTCTCTAGTGGGTTGTGTGACGTTAAAAGGCTGCTGCAAGCTGGCGTGAAAGTTGGATTGGGAACAGGTTTGTGCTTCTTTGTGCTAGAGTTGGCTGCCTTGACAACGAAAATCATACCAGAGATTCAGTGCATAATTATCCGCCTGTCCTACTGGTGATTTGTGGTTGTTCGAGTGACATGTGTGTATTCCAGCTGTTCATGAAGAGGCACGAGTGCAGTTAAAATCATTGCCTTGTAACGTTTTGCAACTTAATTCATAAATAAGGTTATTATGAACGGTTACAAAATTTTATCGCGCCTAACATACGTGTGTGTTTTTTGTGTTTTTTTTTTTTAAGTCGAGGAATAAAACACAATTTCTGAATAAAAAGAGATTAGAAGTGCAAGAGCATTTATGCAGCTCGTGAGCGATGTACTGTATACAACAATTTATCAAAAATTAATCTTCTGACTCATTAACAATTGAGATTATATTAATGAGAGGAAAATGATGGACAATGTTCTCCGATGGAATTTTCTGAGAGACTCACTTTCTTCCCGAATGCCAAGAGCAAAATTTCACCACAGCAAAAATCAAAACGTAAATAATTTTTTTGTTCTTCTTCTCAAGAATGATTGATTTTTGTGTGAAGAACGAAAAAATTTGGAATGCATCAGTACTTCTACAATTTCAAAAAAATTGAAACGAACACGAAAAAATTGAAAATTAAATTGATGGAAAAAACGTGCAGTATAAATAAACAGAAGTTCCATTAAAACTTCAGGGTAATAGACATGCAGAAACCAGACCTTGGATGATGTTTTTCAGCAAGCAACTTAAAAGAGACTCCGTGTTCAATTTTTGCGCTTTGGCAGACAAAATAGTATTTAATTTCATGCGACGCGTATGACCTGTCTGATGCTGTTTCTCAAAGGTTTTGCTCGTATTTGAAAACAGAAGATCATAATTTTGGTGAATCAAAACTCAAATGACATCTGAAACCAAATGCGCAGCGGTTGTGTGATTTTATTTTTTACTGCTGGCGCCAGTCCAATTTTTTTAATGTGGAGTGATGAATGATTTTCCTTGTGAAGCCTTCACCCGGATGCATGTACGGTTTTCGTGAATTTTTTTTTTTTGCCCTGATGTTGTTTATTCTTGCATTTTGAAACATTGGGAATTTGTTTTTTTTTTCAGACATGTCCGGTGGGTTCAGCCATTCCATGTTCGATGCTATGAGACAAGCTGTTGAGGCTTCGAAAATACTCTGCGTTCTTCAAAGTGATCCCCATCCTTTGTCAACGGAAGATGCATTTTTTCTCGCCACCATGGGATCAGCTCAAGGTTTGGCTCGATTTTTGCTCTCGGATTTTTTTTTTTTTTTTTGTTCTTTGTGGACTGAATTTTTTTTTTTAGTTTTGAAAATGGAAGACAAAATTGGGAGCCTTGCCGTGGGACGACAGTTTGATGCCTGCTTGATGACTAGCTTTTCAAAAATATCTGAGCATTTGGAAGCGGATCTTGATATGTTCAACCATATCTTCTACACCGCTGATGATCGAAACGTGAAGAAAGTTTTCGTTGACGGGAAGTTAGTCGTCGGGCATTGACGTGAAGATGTTTCCGTTTTTCCGTTCAGTATTAAGACAGGGGGGAAGTGAATTCAGCATTGGTTCTGAAAGTATATTTGATGACTCAATTCAGCGGATTTCTTTTTTGCTTTAGTAACGTTCCCGGAAGTATGGTATTACTGAATTGTTGGCATTTTTTTCGCTTGCGCCTGGTGCTGATTTTGGAAAACCAACTGCTTTATGTTCAACCATTTTGCTGCGTTTCGATTCATTCTTTTTCAAGTGCTCTTCAGCCAGAGATTTTAATTCATGTTAGGTTTTTTTTTTTCTTTAGGAACCGCCGTATGTTGTCGTGATTTTCCGTTTACGAAGCCAAAATATTCATAGCGATGATTTGGTTCAGGTGTGGAGAAATGAGGAAACTACAGGTGAATCATGAGCAGAGGCTCAATGAAACGGACATATTCAGAGATGGTGTGATGAAGTGAATTCCCTGGTTAAAACTACAGTACTGTATCACTTTATTGACTGAAGACGAGAATAAGGTTTGCTCAGCGACAGGTTCTTGCATTGGGCACCATGTGTGTTTCTATGAAAGTAAGTGAATTACATCAAGGATGAAATCGAGTGTAATTAGACTACTGTACTTTTGAATATATGTATCTGCTTTCTTTCTTTATTTTTGGAGTAAAATTTCAAAATTGAATATGATAAGTGAAACACGTACTGCAAAGCTTTTATTGTTCCTTATTGGATTGAAGCTTTTTTGAAGTAAGAATCAGGTCTGCTCAATGAAGTATTTTTTTTGTCCCATACACGGTTTCCACAAGAAATAGTTTCTGATATGGTCCCTGATGACTTTTGTTGCAGAGATTGTACTGTATAAGCAAACGATTATTGATGAAGATTAGGAGAGAAAAATAAAATAAAGAACTAATTGTTGATGGTGAATCAAAAGACTAATATAAGATATTCACTAATAGTGAATCGAAAGCACTCAGGCACCTTTCAGAATGTCCTTTTTGTTATCATCAACTCGTCTGTCGTCAAGTATAGACCTTCTAAACTTTTGGAAAATTGCCCAAAGAAAAACCTTGATTGATTGTCGAGTTTGAACAATGGGGAAAATTTTGGAAGATCAATGTAATGATTTAGTGAGAAAGAATCGCGGTGGAACTGCTTTTCATATGCAGAATGTGTGAGAAGGAGTAATTGCTGCTATAGTTTTGGCTTTAATGAGAAGTGCAAACCTGTGACTGATTTTCTATATAGACTCACATATCCGTTCTATTAAAGATGGATCTGATTTTGACAATGTACATGATTAAAGGATTATTGGATCCCTGCATTACAAATGCAACCCCTGACCAGCAGTTCAGTTAACCCCACTCCAGCTGGCCTGCACAAGTTTGTTGGACAGTTGTGGTAAATAATTTTAAATTTATTCCCTTACTTTATATTGTACTGTACATCCAACGTCGTCATCATAGAACAGCTTTATACATTTGCTACTGTCCCCTATATTGACAAGGATCTTATCCATCTTTTTGAAAAGGGAACAGAAGGTTACTCAACACAGTCAAGTACATGTGAAATACTGTTCTGTGATTTTATAGAATCCAGGAAGGCGTAAGGGCATCACACATTTTCCTGCGTCATCCCAGGCTGGCAGGTGAAGAGACGTTCATTGCTCCCACCGCACTTAGGAGGTACAGTATAAACGTGGAAACCGGCAGGATTTCGCGCGGGAAAAGCTTGGGGAATACACTACAGTACTGTATAGTTCCCGCGGCCGAACTGTGGTAATAAGTGAAGAACTGATGTGCTCCTTTTCTCCGGAAACCAGTGGAAATTGCCGGGAACCTTTCGAAGGGAAATGTCTGCAATCTACAGTGTGTATAGTTAATGACGCTCCTATCAAGAAAGAACAGTTGCCGCCCCGAACTTGAGAATTACCGTAGCCATCTGCGTGAGAAGTGATGCCGCGCGGGTGCGAACACGGAAATTATCTTTCGGTGTGCTGGTGCGGGATCGGACTGTGTGTGTTGGTGGCAAGCATGCGGAACCTAGAAACCCGATCACGGCGACTGCTTGGATTGGATTCTATGGTGAACAGCGGTGTAGCCGTAAAAAAAGCCCTGTCGAAGATGTGCGATGAGGAACGCCAAAGACACGAGAGGGAGTTGCTCAATAACGTACGTATACCTTCTCGAAGTCCACATTTTCATTTTGAACCATCCTCAGCTTTTTCATTCACTTATATTGAGCATGGTTTTAACCGGGCCTGTGTCCGGCGGGTGATCATAGATAGAACGAATACAACTACTGCAATTTTCACATAATGCATACCCTATATCCATCAGCTCAACTTCGTAAATGGGTTAAACGGAAACAGAAAGGAATTCTTATGCGTGTTTGAAATTGAAATTTTCATACGCACTGTGTTAGGTCCCACATGATGTGTTTCACCTAAATACACCTGCATTTCAGTTTGACCTAAGGTCTCTGAAATGCACCCAGTTCGGGAAGGCCTAAGTTGGGAAAAATCTGGGAAGGTTGAATCCTTTCGTATTATAAAATCTCTATTGCAAGGAATTCCTGAAAAAAGCCAACCAGTGAACATGTTTTTTAGGAAAATTTTTCTGCTGGATTATAAAAAATATTGGACTTTTTCTGACTTAGCCCTTGGTGCAAAAATCAAATTTTTTCTATTGTCAGTGGTCATGGGCACACAATTTTGCAAAAATATCCCCACTTGGCTGCACAAGGGTTAAATGGATGGAGCTCATTGCAGTAATTAATAATGAGTTCTAATAAATATGACATTGAAATTTATTTTCGTCTCTCAATTCCTTGGCCAGGTGAACATGCGGTGTGGAAACCTCGCTTTTATTTCTGAAACCGCAACGCAATCTTTGCAGAAATAATTTTTTGGTGCCTCTTTGCAAATCGACTGTTGACCGTGCAGTCAATTGAATGATCAATCAATCATGATATCCGGACTCGCAGTGTCTTTCAACCGGTCCATCGTTTCATTCTGATATTGGTCCATGTCGTCACTGAATCTTTTCATCTCTTGCTGCCTGATGGTGCACGAATTATTGTTGTTGTTGGTCTTTGCACTCATCAGTAACCACGACAAAGTTGCGTTGTATCTCGTGTAAAAATCCAATTCGAAAGTATCTTTCCCGGACTTTGCGATGAATCCCGGGATTCCGAGTCCCAGCATCGGGTCCATGGGGGTTGGGTCGGATGGGTTCTGCTGCTGGAATAAATGCTGACTGCTCGGCCACGGCTGCTGATGGCGATTTCTGTTGACGTCATTTTGATTCCGGAAGAAAGCGGAAGTGATGGGTGATGCATTCCACGAGGGACCCAAATTCCCCGGATGATGTTTAATGAACGAAGCAGCTTGATTTTGACTTGTAATGAGTGATGGTGTCAGTTCAGCAGCTGATGATGATGATGATGGGAGCATCATTTGCTGCTGCGAATCTCCGGATTTCTCCTTCTTTGATTTCGTGCGTCTGTTTTGGTACCAGACCTTCACCTGGTTGAATTGGGTTGTTTTATTTAAATCTCTTTGCCGATTTTTTTTTTAGACCTGTACCTGGGTTTCTGAGAGGCCGAGTCGAATTGCGAGGGCTTTTCTGTCCTGGCCGGTGATGTAAGGTAGCTTAGAGTACTCGGTTTCTAGTACTTGCAGTTGTGCTGACGTGAACCAGGTTCTTGCTCTTTTTGGCCGATCCAAGTCGAGAGCCTTGGGTAAAATCAGCTGCTTCACTCGTCCATGATGATCTGTTGCAAAATATCGCAAAATATTCAAGTAACTCAGGTAAAAAAAAAAAAAGCATGAACCTTTTTGTGATAAATAGTGAGACCCCAAGATGGGGATTAATTGGTGCATCAAGAGGGTCCTGATGATGAAATCTCCCTGAGTTGAATCTTGTTTTCCCTTGGACTTCAATGCTAATGTATTTATTTTTTCTCCAATTTGTCAAAAATTAGAAATAAGTCCTCTAAAAATTTAATAAAAATGTTTCCCTCATCAACTTCAAGTTGTAGAAAACAGCAGTGCAGAACACAACCGCATACAATCTGATATATTGGTATCAAAAAGCAAAGAAAAAGAATAAGTCTTGCTAGGATATGCACAGATGCACAAAATAAGCTTGCTTTTGCTCATGGACTAGAGTGAATTCATCATGAAATGTTTTTTCAATGAAAAAAATACATAAATTATTCGATTTCTTCAAAAGATATAAAAATTTAGAAATGAAATTATCCAATTTTTTGGGAAAATTCCAGAAAAGTGTCCCTAACTAGAGTCAATGTCTGGATCTTAGGCCGGATTTTTTCGGTTTTCTAGTGTCCCTAAGTTCAACTGTCCGTATGTCAGGGTGTCCGCATATTGGGATCACACTGTATTGACATAACTGTGTTTTTTTTTTACAACATTTTGGGGTTTGGGTTTGTGCAATGGAATCACAAAGAAAACTTTTCAAGCAGGAAGACTAAATAAAAAAACTTGCGATGTATGAAAATTTTAATGAGCTAAAGTATTGATTTCTATTCATCTTCAAACCGTCAAAGTACATTATCTGCTGTACTTGTTGAAGAATAAATTACCTGTCAACTTTTCAGAAATAAGCATATTACTGTTGATGGTGTATTAAAGCATAATTAATACGAAATGTAAAAAAGAGAAACAAACATGAATGATGTACTGCATAAAGGTATTGTTTAATTTGTTTTTTATTCTAATAAACATCCATTTTGTAATCTATTGACGTTTTAAAATTTTTATGAGTTTTAGTCGCAGAAAACTGAGGTTTGTTTTCATATGCTTGGATGGGCTTTTTTGCTCTCAATTTTTCTTTCAAACATTGAAATGCTTCTTACGTTGATGTGTTAATTTCTCGTGTATGCCGTCCTTTTTCAAAAGGTTTTTGTGGAGAAATTATTTTTCAAATGGGGAAATACGAAGTTTTTAACTTCATGTTTAAAAAAATTTTAAATGTCCGACCGAGTTTTAGCAAAAAGTGTCCAGGAAATAGTAAGTGCAAACTGAAAAGCATATACTGTAGTTGCTTGTTTATATTTGTTTTCAAATTTTTCAATCAACGATGTATGCATGAAAATCTCGAAAAATGTTACCGACAGCTTATTGTTCGACTCCTCGACTTTTGAAATATGCAAACGCTTTGAAGTGCATTTACAAAGCGTTTTTCTTCGCGTGTTCCCCAAAAGTGCTTTTGAAAATAAATTTCACGCAGAATCTTCTTCACATGTGGGAAATAATCAATCAATTCCCAATTGGACGCGAAAAAATGCTAATGAAGATACAGCAATGAAGATATCAAAATTAAAAAAAATAAAATGTTCCTAAGTCGAATTGTCCATATGTTGGGGTGTCCGCATATTGGGGTCTCACACTCTCACTGTATTTACGTCTTCTCATTTTCAGATATTATATATGCCAAAAAGAGATGCTGTTATTTTTACAGAATATTAATCCCTCCAAGATTTACAGCCAGATGAAAGATACAATAATGCATATTTATCCGGTAGAATCTCTTAATTTTTCTCAAAACGAAGTATTGTTTTTGGTTCCTGAAGTATAGCCACAAGTTTGAATTTCAAGTATTATTTATTTGAATTTCAAGCATTATTTATTTGAATTTCAAGCATTATTTATTTGAATTTCAACTAGTATATTATAATACTGTACTGTATTTGAATTATAAGTATTATTTATTTGAATTTCAAGTATTATCAATTTGAATTTCAAGTATTATTTATTTTAATTTCAAGTATCATTTATTTTAATTTCAAGTACAGTATCATTTATTTTAATTTCAAGTATTATTTATTTGAATTTCAAGTATTATTTATTTGAATTTCAAGTATTATTTATCTGAATTTCAAGTATTATTTATTTGAATTTCAAGTATTATTTATTTTAATTTCAAGTACAGTATCATTTATTTTAATTTCAAGTATTATTTA